AGGAAATGTTACTACTGGTCCCAAACGAAAGCCATCATTACTAAGGAATCAATACTAAAGGAAGCATTACCAAGGGCTCCTTGCCGAAGACTCCAGGCCAAGGACCCCTTTAGAAAGGCGTCCTTACTAAGGAACCCTCAGGAGAAAAAAAAAAAAAAAAAAAAAAAAAAAAAAAAACATTCTTAGTAAGGACTCCGTACTAAAGAAATCCGTACTGGGGCCCTTACAACATATCTTTGCTACAGAGACCCGTATCAGTGGAATGATTACTATTGGCACCCTGATTGAGGATCCCTCGCTAACCAATGCGTGCTAATAGGCTCCTCAGTTAGGATCCCTTGTATGAGCGGAATCCGTACTACGGGCCCAATCTTCTAAAAACAAGGCAAACAATTAGCCTGGCGAAAGACCCAACCATATGCAGTTGTGAATACCGACGTTGCATGCACCGCATTCGGCGGAGCTCCCTAAAGAGCAACGAAACGTGTGAGGGGTGTGCAAATTTGTCCGGTCTGGGGCCGTCGGTCGAACTCCCTATGGGGCCACGAAACGCGTGAGGGGTGTGCCGAAATAGGTGCGGTGGGCGCATGCGAACGCAGCCACTGGGGCCGTCGGTGGAGCTCCCTACGGGGCCGCGAAACGTGTGAGGGGTGTGCCGAAATAGGTGCGGTGGGCGCATGCAAACGCAGCCATTGGCGCCTTCGGTGGAGCTCCCCATGGGGACACGAAACGCGTGAGGGGTGTGCCAGAATAGGCGTGTGGGTGACGCATGCGGGCGGTGGCACTGGGGCCTTCGGTGGAGCTCCCTAAGGGGCCACGAAACGTGTGAGGGGTGAGGGGTGTGCCGAAATGCGTGTGGGTGGCGCATGCGGGCGGTGGCACTGGGGCCTTCGGTGGAGCTCCCTGTGGGGCCACGAAACGTGTGAGGGGTGTGCCCAAATGCGTGTGGATGGCGCATGCGGGCGGTGGCAATGTTGCCTTCGGTGAGGCTCTCTATAGGGCCACGAAACGTGTGAGGGGTGTGCCGAAATTGGTGTGGGTGACGCATGCGGGCGGTGGCACTGGGGCCTTCGGTGGAGCTCCCTATGGGGCCACGAAACGTGTGAGGGGTGTGCCGACATGATTGTGGGTGACGCATGTTGGCGGTGGCACTGGGGCCTTCAGTGGAGCTCCCTGTGAGGCCACGAAATGTGTGAGGGGTGTGCCGAAATGAGGGTGGACGCATTCCGGCGGTGGCACCGGGGCCTTCGTTGGAGCTCCCTATGGGGCCACGAAACGTGTGAGGGGTGTGCCGATATGGGTGTGGGTGACGCATGCGGGCGGTGGCACTGGGGCCTTCGGTGGAGCTCCCTATGGGGCCACGAAACGTGTGAGGGGTGTGCCGATATGGGTGAGGGTGACGCATGCGGGCGGTGGCACTGGGGCCTTCGGTGGAGCTCCCTATGGGGCCACGAAACGTGTGAGGGGTGTGCCGAAATGCGTGTGGGTGACGCATGCGGGTGGTGGCACTGGGGCCTTTGGTAAGGCTCGTTATGGGGCCACGAAACGCTGTAATGGGTGGGCGACATGCAGGGAGGAAGGAGGGGGAGTAGGGGGAGGAGGAGGAGGAGGGAGGAAGGAGGAGGGGGAGGAGGAGGAGTGAGTGACGCGGGGCGCTGTCTCTTCAAAACGAGGACCCAACACCAAAGGATGGTTGGGAAACAAATCTGTACTAAAGGAAGCATGACTCTGGACTCCTGACGAAGCGACTCCTTTCACGGATCCCACGAAAAACATCCGATCAAGGAACAATGTATCAAGACATCCGTAATTAGGATCCCTTCAAAAAGGCGTCTTATAAAGCACTACTTGCTGAAAGGTTCCATAATACTGGTTCCTCCGTCAAGGGTTTCTTAGTAAAAAACGCTTAACTGAAAAAGGACCCTCACCCAGGATGCCAGGCTAAAAAGACCCTCGGAAAGGAATACTTACAAAAGGAGTCCGTCATGAGGACTAAATACTAAAAAGGTCCTGACAAAGGAATCCTCACTACAGGCATTCGTGCGAAGAAACCAATTCTAATGGAACCTGTACTGCGGAATCCTCAAAACCGGGGTCCTTATTGAGGGAAACTTTGCTACGGGCACCTTCCGAACGGCTCCTCACCAAAAGCGTCCTCCCTGAGGATTTCTCACTAAACGCAGCCCTCTTGCCTTCTGAAAAGTTTTCTACGCCTTCCCCGAAGACACCAACAAAAAAACTAAGACGGCGAGAGCTCCTAAGAAGTCCCGCCGCCTTCTAAGAAGGCCTTGTCCTTCTGACTTCCCCCCCTCGCTCGCCGACGAGACTGGAAGCAGACAGATGTAGGCACTGCACAGATGGCCGGCCGCTTGGACAGCACCTGTAAGGCTACATCAAGCGACGGAACAGCGCTGTCCCGCGCAAACCTGTCAGACCGCGGGCCCGGTGCAGATCTAGTTGTCTATTGTCCTCCTCCCCTCTTCGAACTATTCCTCATTCCCTCCTCGTGGTGCTGCCAGTGATGACGTTTCCGCTGATGCTGCTCCCGTTGCTGCTGCCCGCCGTCACAATCATCGTCCTCCTTCTCGTCCTCGCACTCCTTCGCGTTCGCTTATTTTTGTTTTCTCTCTCTCTCCTCCTTCTCCGCCTCCTCCATTCGATCCCTTTGTGGTGAATGCATTATCTATTTCTCTCTCTCTCTCTCTCTCCTCCTTTTGGTTATCCTCCTTCGGTTAAGCTGATGGTCGGGACCGCTCTCTTCTTCATATCCCGTTCGACCATGCAGCTACCCGCAATCGATCCCATCTTCAATGCTCATCCTCTCTCCTTCCAGAACCCCTCCCATGGTCGTTGGCACTTTGAACACCGCGCCCTCCCTGACCCTCCCGAAATCACTCCCGACATATTCTACGGGCTCATGAATCACACATGAAATCCTAAGCTAAGCCTAAAACAGCCAAACGCGGCGCAAACAAATAACACGCACACAAACACTGGAACACTGCAATGCAAAAGCAAGCTGAAATGCAAAAAACAATTGAGCTTCGCTCCATAATCGCAGGCGCTTTGAACCCTGCCGACTCACATGCGGAATCCTAAGCTCAAGCTAAAACAGCCAACCGGAGCGAACATCAAATGCAATGCAAAAGGCACAAAATGAAGTGCAAACAAAGACTGCGAAACCACAGAGAGCAACATGCAATATGTTGCACCATGGCCGAACAACTCCCCACTCACGCCCGGAATCCTAAGCTCAAGCTGAAGCCGCAATACGAAGCCCTCAAAAAGTGCAACGAACAAAACGATACACTGCAATGCACAGCAACTGCAATGCAAAACAAACGTGTTTCACCTCATGCTCGTTGGCGGTCGAACACCACCCCGTCCCTGACCATTCTGGAGACACTCCCGCAATCCAGCACGCGATACAAGCACACCTAAGCACAATCTTAGACAAGAGGCTGGATGAAGACAGCAAACAACCTTACAAACAAAAAGCAACGCGGCGAACAAAAAACAAACAGCGCAGCAACATAACTGCAGAGCAGAAAAAACTGCAATGAAGAAGCTGCGCTCCGCGTCATGGACGTCGGCGCTTTGACACCACACTCTCCCAACACCTCCCCAGTCCGCTCCCGACTATCACGCGGATTCCTAAGCTCAAGCTGAAGCAGGCAAACGCAGCGCAAGAAAGTACAATGCAACAAGACGTACAGCGCAACTAAAAGGCAATGCACCGAACTGCGCGTCGCCTCATGGTCTTCGGCGTGTTGGCACAACTCCAGACTGACACGCGGGATCCTGTGTTCAAGCTGACGCATCCCAGAGCAGCGCAAAAACAGTGCAGCGCGAAAACACTGCAACGCAACAGCAAAAGCAGCGCAAAGCAAAACCTGATAGGCAAGAGAGGCCGTGTGACTGATCACGGTGCCTGGCGCTTCGGGCAGCCACCCTCTCTGAACCTCCCCAGGCATTTCCCGATCTGAAGGCGGAATCGCAAGCTCAAGCTGAAGCAGCCAGACACAGCGCGCTGACAACAACAACAAAAAACAATACAACGAACAGCATGCAACGAAGAAGAACTGACACGCAACAGCAACAAACACAAACTCAGCGATGCAAAGCACATGGGTTTGGGGACATCGTGGTTGGCGCTTTGGACACCGCACCCTGAACCTCCCTGCACCTCTCCCGACCCGCACTTGGAGTCGCAAGCTGAAGCCGAAATAACCAAACGTGCCACACAAAAAAGTGCAGCGCAGCAGTAACTGCAAACAAAAAACTGCAATGCAGCAGCACTTTCTCTATAGAGAGAGCGAGGAGAGAGAGAGAGAGAGAGAGAGAGATCATGGTCACCGTCGCTGGCGCTCTCACACAACCATTCTCCCTGAACCTCCCCAGAGCGCTCCCGCCTCACACGCGCCATGATTCCGAAACCAAAAGCTGAAGAAGCCAAACGTAAATATAAGCGGAAAGAGTTACCTTTTGATCGTCGAGCGCGTGAGCTTCAACTAACGGAATTGTCGTTATGGTGGCTTGGCGCCAAGCCGTGCTGACACTGCTAAGTAAGGAATCGAACTCTATACACCGATGCCTGTTCTGGCCCTGCATTGAAATCTGCACTGGAGAGCGGATCCTGGTGTATACGGGACCCTGGTGTATACATGACATCGAAGAAAGAGGTATACACCACACTACCCCCGCGTCGCCCCCGATCCTCAAAAAGTCCTGGGATTGAAAGAGAGCCCGCCACTGGTAATGTATATAGTGACGGCGCGGCAGCAAGAAACCTTCGCAAAAAACCTAACCCTGAAAACCCGCGCGCGAGGTGCGCCTGAGGGGGATCTAGGAGCGCCCTGAACGCAGCAGCTTCTTCAACGGCTGCGGGAAGTCGCCGCGCAGCGCGAGGAGCGAAGAAACCCAGGACACCCTGACGAAAAGCACATGGTTTCTTGTTGCGCGCCCCCACTGTAAGAACTGAACCTGCCACTGAAGAAAGCTGACGTCTGGCTCCAAACTCGCCTCACGTGCCCCGAGCAGCAGAGACAGCGCCTGCTCCCACTGCCCGCTCTTCTCGCACGCGCTGGTCGCGGCGCTGTAGCTGATGATGTTGGGCTCCAGCTCCGCCGTCCGCATGTCGGCGAACCAGCACAAAGCCTGTCTCCATTCTCCGCCCTTCTCGCACGCGCTGATCCCTGCGCTGTAGATGATGGCGTCCGGCTCCAGCTCCGCCTCCCGCATCGCGCCGAGCAACGACAACGCCTGTTGCCACTGCCCGCCTTTTTCGCACGAGCTGATCCCAGCGCTGTAGCAAATTACATTGGTTTCCACTCTCCCTTCCCACATCTCGAAGATCAGCGACACAGCCTGTTTCCAATTTCCGCCTTTCCCACACGCGCTGATTCCAGCACCGTAGCTGAAAGCATTTGCCTCCAACCTCAACGTCGACATCTCGCGAAGCAGCGACAATGCCTGCTGCCACTCCCTGCTTTTCTCGCACGCGCTAATCCCAAGGCTGTAGATGATGACGTCTGGCTCCAGCTCCGCCTTCCAAGTCTCGCTGAGCAGCGACAGCGCCTGCTGCCACTGCTGGCCTCTTCCGCACGCGCCAATAACCGCCATGTACTGGACGAGGTCAGGTTTCGCATAATGCGAAACGGTTTCGCGAAACAAGTGAAGCGCTGCACTCCACTCGTTTCTGGTCCCATGTCGCTTGATGGCCGCTTGGAGAGAGGCACCGGACCGAGGTCCTCGCCCGCTGCCCAACATCTGCGCAGATCGATGTGTTCCATGGGATTCGCCGCGGGCATCTCAGCTGCGTGCGACTGCGCTGGCATATGGCAACAATCATCATCCGCCTCGATGGGCCAAAGTGGCTACGCAGGGTGGACGAGGAGGAGCAGCAGGAGGAAGAGCGGCAGGAGGACAAGAGTGAGCCTGCCTCGGTCTGTTGAGACTCCAGGCACGCAGTGACTACAAGCGTTAATTACAGCGCTGAGGCCTCGCAGACGCCGCTGACGCCGATTACGTCTGGCTTCACACTCACTTCCCGCACCGCGTGGAGCAAGGGCCAAGCCTGCTGCCATTGTCCACCTGTCACGCGAGCTCTGATACCAGCATGAATGATAAGTGATGACGTCTGTCTGCACGTTGGATTTCTGCCTTTCACGAAGCAGCGACAGCGTTTACTGCCACCGCCACCCTGTCTTACACGCGCTGATGCCAATATTGAACGTAAGGAGGGCGTCCCGCTCCACATTCGCATCTACCATCACGGTGAACAAGTGTAATGTTTGCTGCAACTCCGTCCGCCACTTTCTCACACGCGCTGGTACCAGGGCTGTATCTGACGTCAGCAGGCTCCAGTTTCGCCTCCCCTTTCTCGCACGCGCTGCAACTGATGACAGTAGGCTCCATCTTCATGTTTGACATCTCGCTGGCAAAACCAGAGCGCCTGCTGCCACTGCTTCCCTTTGGCGCACGCGCTGTGTCTAGGAGTGGCCCGTGGACGATGGATTACGAAACATATGAGAGAGCACGCACGCAGGGCCAGAGCTAAGGGAGAGCCCTTAGCTAGCCCCACCCCTTGGACCTCTCCTGGACCGGGATATCAATATGATGTTTTGTCCGCTGGCATCTTGACGTGAGTTGCAAAAGACATGATCACCCAGAAAAAAAACTAAATCTGTGTCGCGACAGTGAACGAATGTTGCAGTGGATGAAAATAGTGATACTGAAATATAAAGATCGAGCCAAGATGGCGACGGAAAACCGAAAGGGCGCCGAAAGCCAAACGGGGCAACGATAACCAAGAGAGCGCCGAAAACCAAAGGGGTGTCGAAAACACAGAAGCGCGGAAAACCAAAGCGGCACCGAAAAACAAAAGGGCGCCGAAAACCAAAGGGCCACAGAAAAACAAACGGGTGCCGAAAACCAAACGGGCGCCAAAAACCGAACGGGCGCCGAAAAACCAAGGGGCGCCGAAAACCAAAAAGGCGCCGAAAACCAAAAAGACGCCGAAAACCAAAGGGGCGCCAAAACCAAAAAAGGCGCCGAAAACCAAACGGTGCGCCGAAAACCAAAGGGGCGCCGAAAACCAAAGGGGCGCCGAAAACCAAACGGTGCGCCGAAAACCAAAGGGGTGCCGAAAACCAAAAGAGCGCAGAAACCCAGGGGGGCGCCGAAAACCAAAGGGGCGCCAAAAACCAAAAGAGCGCCGAAAACAAAAAGGGGCGCCGAAAATCAAAAGGGGCGCCGAAAACCAAGGGAGCGCCGAAAACCGAAGGGGCGCCGAAGACCAACAGGGCGCCGAATACTCAAAGGGGCGCCCAAAACAAAACGGTGCGCCGAAAACCAAGAAGGAGCTCCGAAAACCACAGGCCAGCGGCGCCGAAAGCCAAGGGGGCGCCGAAAGCCAGGGGGGCGCCGAAAACCCAGGGGGCGCCGAAAACCGAGAGGGGGGCGCTGAAAACCAGCGGAGGGGCGCCGAAAAGCAGAGGGGCGCCGAGGACCAGGGGAGCGCCGAAGGCCGGAGGGGCGCCGAAGACCAGGGGGGGGGGCACCGAAAATCGAGGGGGCGCAGAGAACCAGAGGAGCACGGATAAACCGAGCGGGCGGGGGCGCGAGGGATGCTCGACATGGGGCGCGGGGGTGCGCCATGCCAAAAATCCTCGGGCTCTGGCAGCCAGAGCCGCGCAGGGGCCTCTGCGCCGCGCGGGGGCCTGTGGCTTCCTGGCGGCCCCAAGGCAGCGCAGAGGGACACATGCCGGCAGTGTGGGGGTACGGCCGAGATCTGAAGCTCAGGTTCTTCCAGGTGTCCCCGGGGAAATCATATATTGGGAGATTGGAACTTCATGCAGAGCTGAAGAGGGATGGGAGATATCCCCGAGAGCTGAAGAGGGATGGGAGATTAAAACTTCATGCAAATAAGATTCCGAGAAGGTGCGAAACAGATGCGAAAGAAACCGGGTCAGCCTGCACGAGCGCCTGATAGTAGGAATCCCAGAATCCCAGCAGCAAGACCCGGATCCCAACACGCGAACCATAACACCCTAACCTGAACCCCCCAACCCTAGCACCCTAACCTTGACAACCTAACCCTAACAACCCAGTCCTAAACCGCTGACCCTATCCCCTTAATCTTGACACCCCAAACCTAGCACCGTAACCCTAACACTATAACCCTAACACCCTCACCCCAACACTCGAACCATAACCCGAACACCCTCACACCAACACCCATCACCCTAACCACACACACACACTAACACTAACACCTAACACCCTATCACCCTAACACTCGAACACATGAACCCTAACACCAAAACACCCTAACCTCACCCTAACTCCAGACTCGAACTCTAACACCCAACCCTAACGCACCAGTTCTAACACCCGACCCCTACCACCCTAACCAGAACACCCTACCCCTAAACCTAACACCCTATCCCTAAGACCCCGAATCCTAATACGCGATTCAAATAACCTTAACCCTAACACCCTAATCCTGAAAGGGGGACGGGAGAGGGTAGCTTCCGAAGGCCCCCCCTCCAGGTCTGACAGAATCCTGCTAGGGTTCCAGCCAGCTCTACACCCATCCTTCTCTGGGTCGATCCAGCTCTCGCAGGGTCCTAGGGACCACCGATCAAGCTCTGACAGAATCGCGCTAGGGCTCGATCCAGCTCTAACAGGGTCCTACTGGGACTGCTCTAGCAAAATCCCACGAGTGCTCGATCCAGCTCGAATCAATCCTGCTACGGCTGAGTCCAGCTTCAGTAGAATCGCATCAAAGCTGGATCCAAGTCTGATGGATTTCTACTAGAGTTCGAACTAGCACAAGTGCAAAAATCCTCATAGAGTTGAATCCAGCTCTGACAGAATCCCACAAGTGCTCGATCCAGCTATACACAAACCCTGCTAAGGCTGGACCCAGCTCTAATATAATCCGACTAGGGTTCGATCCAACTCTGGAATAATTCGACAAAAGCTCGGTCCAGTTTCTCGTAGAATCCTTCGAAGCCTGGACCCAGCTCAACTGTATCCAGCAGTTTTGATGGACTCCTGCCAAGGGTCAATCCAGCTTTCGTGTAATCCTATAGGCTGTAGGGTTGGATCCAGTTCACAGAGAGAGCGTGATCCACCGCCGCTTTACTGTGAAAAATTGCCAACCTTTTCCTCCGGAACCCGGAGGTCGCCCCCCCCCCCCCCTTCCGAAAATCCCTCCCCCCTGCTGGAACCCCTCCCCCCCCCCCTCCCCGGCAAAACCCCCCCCCTCCCCTAACCCCTCCCCCCCCCCTCCCCCTCGAAAACCGGGGGGGTCACTACCGGTTCGAACCCCTCCCCCCCCCCCCCCCGGATCCGGAAAACCGGGGGGGGTCACTACCGGTTCGAACCCCCCCCCCCCCCTCGAAAACCGGAGGGGGATCACTACCGGTTCGAACCCCTCCCCACCCCCCCACTCACCGCCAGCAAACGACTCCCGGTCCCTACCACCGTCCGCATCACATCCTCCACTGTTGTTCCCAGCACCACTGTCCTCACCACCACTGTCCCCACTGTGTCCCCACCAGTGCCCCCACCACTGTCGCACTGTCCCCACTGTCCCCACCACTGTTCCCACCACGGTTCCACTCTCCCCACTGTCTCCACGGCCCCAACCACTGCCCGACTATCCCCACTGTCCCCACTGTCCCACTGACTCCGCCGCTGTCCCACTGAGCTGTCCCACTGTTCCCACCACTGTCCCCACTGTCCCCACCACTGTCCCCACTGTACCTCTGTCCCATTGTCCCACCGCCGTCCTCGCCACCGCCTTCACCACTGTCCCCACCACCATTGTACCCTCCACTGTCCCATTGTTTCCACCTCATTCCCACTGTGCCCACACCACTGTCACCACCACCACCGTCCCCACCACTGTCCACTGTCCCCCCTGTTCCCACCATTGTCCTCACCACTGTCCCCACCACTACCGGCCCTCTACTGTCCCACTGTCCCACTGTCCCCACCACTGTCCAGCTGTCCCCTCACCACTGTCCCACCAACACCGTCCCCACCTCTGTCCGCACCCCCACTGGGTTTTCGACGAGAGGGGGGGGGGGGGAGGGGTTCGAACCGGTAGTGACCCCCCCCGGTTTTCCGGAGGGGGGGGGGGGGGAGGGGTTCAAAACGGTAGTGACCCCCCCCGGTTTTCCGCCAGCAGCGGTAGAACACGCTCTTTCAGTTCACATGAACTTCTACTAGGGCGCGACCCAGTTCTAACATAATCCTACGACGCTTCAATCCAGTCCTGAAAAATTGTCAGTCAGTAAGGGTCGACCCTGCTCTACTAGGACGCCACTGGGGCTGGATCGAACTCTAATAGGATTCTTATGGGGCTAGATCCAGCTCTACTCGAATACTGGGTTAGATCCACATCTGATGAAATCCGGCTAGGTCTCCATTCAGCTCTACAGCCATCCTTCTCTGGGTCGATCCAGCTCTGGTAGGGTCCCACTAGGGCCCGATCCAGCTCTGATAGAATCGTGCTAGGGCTCGATCCAGCTCTAACAAAGTACTACTGGGACTGGATCCAGCTCCAGCAGAATCCCACGAGTACTCGATCCAGCTCGAATAGAATCCTACTACGTCTGAGCCCAGCTTTAGTAGACTCATATCGAAGCTGGAACCAACTCTGCTGGGTTCCTACCAAAGCTCGATCCAGCATTGATGCCAAATCCTCATAGTTGAACCCAGCGCGGATAGAATCCTACTAAGGTTCGATCCAGGTTGAACGGATTCCTGCTAGGGTTGGAACCAGCTTTACTGGAATCCTAGTACGGTTGGGTCCAGCTCTAGTTGAATCATGTCAAGGCTGGGTCCAGGTCTGATGGAATCCTACGGAAACTCGATCAGCATGAATGCGAAATCCTCAGAGTTCGAATCCAGCTCTACTAGAATCCTACTCGGGCTCGATCCAACTTATAAAGCACTTCTACGGCTGAATCCAGCTCTAAAAGAAACCTACTAGGGCCTGATCAAGCTCGATCCAGCTCTAAGCGCCTCCCACTAGGGCTCGATCTTCGTCGTCGTTTGCTGGCGGAGACGTCCTCGTCGTGGTTGTTTTCGTCGTCATGGCCGTCGTTGTCGTCGTCGTCGTCCGCGGCGTCGGCGTCGGCATCGGCATCGGCGTCAACATCGGCGTCGTGGTCGTCGTCCGTCGCCGTCGTCGTCGTCGCCGTCGTCGTCGTCGTCGTTGTCGTCGTCCTCGCCGTCGCCGTCCTTGTCGTTGTCGCCGTCCTTGTCGTCGTCGTCGTCGTCGTCGTCGTCTTCAGCAGCCTCGTCGTCGTCGTCATCGGCATCGGCGTCGTCGGCATCGTCGTCGTCGGCAGCGGCATCGTCGTCATCTTCGTCGTCGTTGTCGTTCGACTCCGTCGTCGTCGTCGTGATCGACGTCGTCGTCTTCGTCGTCGTCGTCGTCCTTGTCCTCGTCATCCTCCTCGTCGTCGTCGTCCGCGTCGTTCGCCGGCGGCCACGACGTCGTCGTCGTCGTGGTCGCCAGGGGGGGGGTTCTGGACCCCTCCGAATAATTCCCCCAGGGGAGGCGGAGGGGGTCCGGAACCCCACCTCCCCCCGTGGCTGAGGAGGGAAGGGGGTTGGACCCCCCCCGCTGCCAGCAGCGGCAGACAGCGCCTTGTCGACGCTGCGAAAACGAAAAGCGTGAGAATGCCACAAGAGGCACGCTTGCCCACATGATTCGAACGAGGTCTGCCTCTTGGGGCTCTCTGGGGACCCCCCCCTCGGAGCCCTCTTTTGAGGCGTCTCGGAGGCCCCGTGGGCCGCGGGGAGGCCGTCGCGGACGTCTTGGAGCGCCCCTTCGGACCGGCTCGGGGTCCCCTCGGCGGGAGCGAGAAGGAAGGGCTCCTCTGAGGCTCGGGGCGGGGCCCTGCGGCGCACGCTGCGGGCCCACGGAGGGAGCTCCAGCCGCACTGGGGGGGGCCAAACTGGCGCGGAGGTCCGCCACTGCAGACGCCACGGCCGCACCAAGGTGCCCCGAGCCTCCAGGTCGCATCACCCGCGGGCGAGGACGAGCGAGGGAGGGAGAAGGAACAAGACCACCCCAGGCGGAACGAGGGAGAAGGAGCAGGAGGAGGAGGAGGAGGAGGAGGAGGAGGAGGGGGAGGAGGGAATAAGGGGGAGGAGCTGGAAGAGGGAAGAATAGGGGGAGAGGAGGGGCCCAGGGACGGGGGGGAACAGGTGGGCGGGCGGTGGCAAGCGCCCCAGCTCGAGCTCGCTGCCACGGTCGGCATTATTCGCACGCGCGCGACCGAGAAGTATATCACAACCGATGGCGTTGGGTTCCGACTTCGCATCCCGCAACTCGCTGAACAGCTGTCGACACTGGGCTCCAACGTCAACGTCAACAACTCACTAAGCAGTGGCAGGGTCCGCTCTCAATGCTCGCCCCTGCCATGCATGCTGATCCGAAAGCTGAAACCAACTAGGGCGGGAGCAACGATATTCACAGCGGCTTCCTGCGCGATGGACTGCCGTTGCCAAGTTTAAAATACGGGTGTCCGGCCACGTAATCACAATTGTCACCCAGCTGGGCTCTGCACGCAGTGCTTCGCAGGATACTCGAAAACGTGAAAACCGATCCCATGATAGCCTGGGAATCCTGCCAAGTTCCCAGACGACCTCTCACACGCTGTGATACCCAATTTGTAACTGAATTCGCTCGGCTCCAAATTAATCTCCCGCATCGTGCTGAGCAGCGACAACGCCTGCAGCCACTGGCTGGATCCTTCGCACGAGCAGATCCCAGCGTTGTAGCTGACTAGGGCTGACCCGCGGCCTTCTGGCCGCAGAATCTGCCCGCCATGGCGTGGACGTGAAGTGGAGAGTTTCCAGGGCCTCGCAGGTCAGGGGAGGTTGGATGGGGACGGCGTGGATGGAGGAGGTGGCCGCTGGAAGGAGAGGTGGGCGAGGGATGCTGGCAAGCAGGTCTGAAGGCAGGAGCGCGATGGTAGAGGCGATGTCAGTGGAAGTACACCCATGTGGGCATGGCATGGTGTGGACAGAAGCTGTTTCTGACGCCGCAGTCTGTGGTTTTCATAGCTTCTGCGGGGCGGCTAGCCGTGATACCTTTATCTGCTCTTCGCTGGGACCGAATGATAATTTTATCTGGTAGTGTGGTGACAATGGGGCCGGTGGGCGCGGCCTAAGCGGCCCACAAGAGGGCGGCGAGACGGCCCAAAAGGTCTCCAAGACGGGCCAAGAGGCTTCCCAGACGGCCCCAGAGAGCCCCACGAACTTACTAAGACGGGCCCCGGTGCGAGGACACGAATCGACCTTTCGAGCGCACCGCCCCAAGACGTCCCCAGAAGGCACAAAGATGGCTCCCAGAGGGTACAGGAAGACCCCAAGACGACACTGGAAGTTCAACGCGCCCCAAGAGAGAAGGATACAAGGCCTCTTGGGGGCCGCTTTTCGTCCTCCTGGGGTTCTCTCGAGGCCCTCTTGGGACGTCTGGAGTGCCGCTTGGGCCGTCTTGGGGCGATGTGGGGCCGTCTCGGGCGCCTCTCGGACCATCTTGGAGCCGTCTTGGGGCCATCTTGGGCCGATATTGGGCGTTCTCGAGGCTGTCTAGGGTGTTTATTGGGCCGTCTCGGGCGCCTCTGGAGCCGTCCCGGGGCCGTCTCGAGCCGTGTTGGGGTTCTGGGAGCGTCTTGGGGCGATCTGGGGACCTGTACAGCCGTCTTGGAGACTGTGCAGATGGAAAGGCCTGGAGACGGGGCGGTGGGGGGCCGTCTTGGGCCACTATGAACTGCTCTTGGGGCTGTCTTGGGTGCGTCTTGGGCCGTCTCGGGCGCCTCTGGAGCCGTCCCAGGATCGTGTGGGGCCGTTTGGGGGCGCTCCTGGGGGCCTCTGGGCGCGTCTTGGGGCGCGCTGGGGGGCCTGTATAGCCGTCTGTAACGCTGCGAAGACGAAAAAACAAGATATAGTGAAACTGTGCGCTTCCCGTGGGGAATCAGACGATTATGGCCTCTTGGGGCTCTCCTGAAACCCCTCCTGGGCCATCTCGGGAGCCTCCTGGTCTGCCTTGGGGGCCCCGGAGGGCGCCCCCGAGGGCCCGGGGGCCCACTCGAGACAGAGTACCTTCTCGCACGCGCGGGTCCCTGCATTGTAGATGACGTTGGGCTCCAGCTTCGCCTCCCACATCTCGCTCAGCAGTGCGAGCGCCCGCTGCCATTGCTCGCCTTTCTCGCACGCGCTGATCCCAGCATTGTAGGATAGATGACGTTGGGCTCCAGCTTCGCCTCCCGCATCTCGCTCAGCAGTGCCAGCGCCCGCTGCCACTGCTCGCCCTTCTCGCACGCGCTGATCCCAGCGCTGTAACTGATGGCGTTGGGCTCCAGCTTCGCCTCCCACATCTCGCTCAACAACGCCAGCGCCAGCTGCCACTGCCCGCTCTTCTCGCACGCGGTGATCCCAGCGCTGTAGATGATGACGTTGGGCTCTAGCTTCGCCTCACACATCTCGCTCAGCAGTGCCAGCGCCGGATGCCACTGCCCGCCCTTCTCGCACGCGCTGATCCCAGAGTTGTAGCTGACTAGGGCTGACCTGTGGACTTCCGTCCACGGTTGCCACAGTATTGAAGGGGTGCCTGCTGTTGTTTGGGGCTCCAGGGTGAGCTGGGTGTTCGTTGGTTTGTCGGCGCCCAGGGCTGCGCTTGCAGCAGCAGCAGCAGCAGCAGCAGCAGCAGCAGAAGGAGCAGCTCCAACAGCATCAGCAACAGCGCGGCTTCCTCGTGCGCAGTAGCTCTGGCGATAGCAGCTGTATGGCCGAAGAGGGAAAGGGAGTCTGATTGGGAAAAACCATACCCCACACCTCCTGGGACACGCGCTGTGCGAGAGGGGTCCCTGAAAATGCATTACTTCGCGTTTGGGGGCTGGCTTTCGAAGCTGTTTGTGGAGCCCCTCCCGCGCGACACGTGTCCCAAGAGGTGTGGGTATGGGTTTTTCCAATCAGGAGAGCGTCCACGAAGAAGCAATTTTCAGTGCACTCTGGTAGGAGGGCTTATTGGAGCTGGAACTGTCTCGGAGGTTTCCTGGGAAGCCGCGGGAGCCGCGTCGGGGCCGTTTGGAAGGCCTCTGGTGCCGCATTGAGTCCGATGGGGCCGGAAGGGCTCCTGAGTTCCCCCTTTTGGGCGCCAAGGGCTCCATCCCCCCTGTGGGCTTCCCTGGGGGCCATCTGGAGGGTCTCTTGGCTCGTCGTGGGGGCCTTGGAGCGGTCTTGAAAGCTCTCATGGGAGCCACCAGGGCTGCGCTGGGCCCAAAGCGGAGACCTGGCGGGTCATGGCGCCACAGAAGCGAGCAGCTGAGAAATCATCCAAAACCACTGTGATTATGCTACCGAGGAACCCCACATACTTATGTCAGATCCTGCGTGGTCATATCATCATGTTGCACCAAGCACAGCCTCCTGGCATTGTCGTTCGCCTCTGTGGCGTCGGGGATCTGCAACGCCTGCCACACTTTGCGAGCCCGCAACGGATAGGGGGGACCAGCCCCAGCGCACCCCCTGTGGTGTCGAGAACGTGCAACGCCTGCCACAATTTGCGAGCCCGAAGCGGATATGGGGGACCACCCCCTGCGCACCCCCTTGTGGTGTCGAGAAGGTGCAACGCCCGCCACACTTTGCGAGCCCGCGCCGCATAAGGGCACCACCCCCTGCGCACCCCTTTTGGTGTCGAGAAAATGCAACGCCTGCCACACTTTGCGAGCCCGAAACTGATGGGGGACCACCCCCTGCGCACCCCCTCTGGTGTCGAGAATATGCCGTGCCTGCTGTGCCCTGGACGACCGTCACGGATAGCGGCCGCGGTGAGAGACCACCCCCTGCGCACCCCCTCTGGTGTCGAGAATATGCCATGCCTGCTGTGCCCTGGACGACCGTCACGGATAGCGGCCGCGGTGAGAGACCACCCCCTGCGCACCCCCTATGGCGTCGAGAAAATGCCATGCCTGCTGTGCCCTGGACGACCGTCACGCATAGCGGCCGCGGTGAGAGACCACCCCCTGCGCACCCCCTCTGGTGTCGAGAATATGCCATGCCTGCTGTGCCCTGGACGACCGTCACGGATAGCGGCCGCGGTGAGAGACCACCCCCTGCGCACCCCCTCTGGTGTCGAGAATATGCCATGCCTGCTGTGCCCTGGACGACCGGCACGGATAGCGGCCGCGGTGAGAGACCACCCCCTGCGCACCCCCTATGGTGTCGAGAATATGCCATGCCTGCTGTGCCCTGGACGACCGGCACGGATAGCGGCCGCGGTGAGAGACCACCCCCTGCGCACCCCCTATGGTGTCGAGAATATGCCATGCCTGCTGTGCCCTGGACGACCGGCACGGATAGCGGCCGCGGTGAGAGACCACCCCCTGCGCACCCCCTATGGTGTCGAGAAAGTGCCACGCCTGCCACGCCCTGCGACCCTGGGGCGGACAGAGACCGCGGTGAGGGACCACTCCCTGCACACCCCCTATGGTGTCGAGCAAGTGCCACGCCTGCCACGCCCTGCGACCCTGGGGCGGATAGAGACCGCGGTGATGTGGTGTGGTGTGGTGTGGTGTGATGTGATGTGCGTGTGTGTGTCTCCTGATGTGATGTGATGTGACGGATGGTGTGGTGTGGTGTGGTGTGGTGTGGTGTGGTGTGGTGTGGTGTGGTGTGGTGTGGTGTGGTGTGGTGTGGTGTGGTGTGGTGTGGTGTGGTGTGGTGTGGTGTGGTGTGGTGTGGTGTGGTGTGGTGTGGTGTGGTGTGGTGTGGTGTGGTGTGGTGTGGTGTGGTGTGGTGTGGTGTGGTGTGGTGTGGTGTGGTGTGGTGTGGTGTGGTGTGGTGTGGTGTGGTGTGGTGTGGTGTGGTGTGGTGTGGTGTGGTGTGGTGTGGTGTGGTGTGGTGTGGTGTGGTGTGGTGTGTGTGGTGTGTGTGTGTTGTGTTGTGTTGTGTTGTGTTGTGTTGTGTTGTGTTGTGTTGTGTTGTGTTGTGGTGTGGTGTGGTGTGGTGTGGTGTGGTGTGGTGTGGTGTGGTGTGGTGTGGTGTGGTGTGGTGTGGTGTGGTGTGGTGTGGTGTGGTGTGGTGTGGTGTGGTGTGGTGTGGTGTGGTGTGGTGGTGTGTGGTGTGGTGTGGCGTGGTGTGGTGTGGTGCGATGTGGTGTGGTGTGGTGTGGTGTGTGTACGAGCGAGAAGGAGGAGGTGAGGTGAACGCGGGTGTGACGCGGGTGGAGAGAAAATCAGAACCCCACTTAGAATGTGGGGAAATATCAGTAATTTGGCGTCCTCGCGGCACCCCTGGAGGCTCTCCGGGAGACCTGTGGAGCTGAATTGAGGCCCTCGGATCGCGCTCGCGTGGGCTTTCTGGGGCTCTCTGGGGGCTCCCCAGAGGCTCTGGCGGCTCTCTGGGGGCTCCCCTCAGGAGCGGCCCCCACGGGCGGAGCCGCGGAGGCGCCGCGCCCCAGGTCTCTTGGCTCGTCCTGGGAGCCTCTGAAACGATCTTGGGGGCCTTTTGGGACGTGGGAGGGGCTCTCATGGGAGCCGCCAGGGCCGCGCTGGGCCCAAGGCGGAGGCCTGCGGTGGCGACTGGAGTGTCATGGCGCCACAGAAGCGAACAGCTGAAAAATCATGCAAACACACTGTAAATATCGGTAGTTTGGCGTCCTCGCGGCACCCCTGGAGGCTCTCGGTTGGGTCCCTCGGATCGCGCTCGCGTGAGCTTTCTGGGGCTCTCTGGGGGCTCCCCAGAGGCTCTGGCGGCTCTCTGGGGGCTCCCCTCAGGAGCGGCCCCCACGGGCGGAGCCGCGGAGGCGCTACGCTCCAGGGCCTGGGGCCCGGCGAGGAAGTACTCACAGGCACCACTGGCACGCATTTTGCCCGGCATTGTAACATAGATGGCATCGGGCTTCAGCTTCGCCTCCCGCATCTCGCTCAGCAGCGCCAAAGCCCGCTGCCACTGCTCTCCCTTTACGCAAGCGCTGACCCCATCGTTGTAGCTTACTAGTGTGAACCCGTAGATTAAATGCACGGCGTGCTGAACCTGGGACTCGCAAGCCGTAGGCTCAATCCAAAAAGAAGGGCGCCAAAGCCGAACAGCTCCTGGAGCTCCTGGAGGGGACGGGGGGGAGGAAAAAAAGAGCAGCGCCCGAACGCGACGCGCCAGCGACTCCGTCGAGGGAACACGGTGGGCTCCTGTCGTTATGAGCTTCGCTGTTGCTCTTGACACCGCGAGAAACGCTAAACCCTGCACGATCGGCAGCTTTGAGATCGCGAACTCATGCAACGTCAGCCGACTCTGGGCCAGCGTCGGCGGTGAACCCTTGATGCAATCGCTGTCGCCGCCACGCCGACGCGGCGCGAATCTGCGCACCCCTCCCCGGTCCCCTGCGTCGCCGCTCGGTGGCGCGAGAAGGGACAGGCAGCGGATGTGAGGGACGGCACGAGGAGAAGGAGGAGGAGGAGGAGGAGGAGGAGGAGGAAGAGGAGGGAGGAGAGATGGGAGGAGGAGGGAGGAGAAGGAGGGAGGAGGGAGGAGGAGAGGGAGGAGGGAGGAGGGAGGAGGAGGGAGGAGGGAGGAGGAGGGAGGAGGGAGGGGAGGGGGAGGAGGAGGAGGAGGAGGAGGAGGAGGAGGAGAGGAGGAGGAGGAGGAGGAGGAGGAAGAGGAGGGAGGAGAAGGAGGAGGAGGAGGAGGGAGGAGGGAGGAGGAGGGAGGAGGGAGGAGGAGGAGGAGGAGGAGGAGGAGGTGGCGCGAGACGGGGCAGACAGCGGATATGAGGGACGGCACGAGGAGGAGGAGGAGGAGGAGGAGGAGGAGGAAGGAGAAGGAGGCGAGCACTCCAGGAGGCGCGGAGATGCGCTCTCTCTGCCTCGGGCGCGGCCCAACCGACCACCTGTGTGGCGAGCGCTCCCGCGACGACCTCCCCGCTCTGGGGGCCCGCCTCTGGCTGCGTGCGTGCGTCTTGCAGTGAGGCAAGGCGGCCACCACGGGAGCGCTGGTCCGCTGGGGGTGGGTAGGGCCGCTCCCGGGCGCTCCAGTCCTCCACCATTACCGGGCACCAGTACTAGGTCGGGCATGTCTCCCTACAGGAGGGATGTGGACGAACAATTAAAAATAGTCAAAAAAGAATTCAACATTGACGCAAATTCTTGAAACAATCGTCCCCCGAGTATTTCTTACTATTTCAGAATATTCCTCCTGTGGGGGGACGCGCCCGACTTAAAGCTGCGTCCCGTCGGGCTGTGAGCCAGGCGCTCCAGTCCTCCGCCGTCACCAGGCACCAGTACTCTCTGCACAGCTTCCCCCTGGGCCGTAGGCGACCCGAGGACGAGGAGGAGGAGGAGGAGGAGGAGGAGGAGGAGAAGGAGGTGGACGTGGAGGAGGGGGAGGGGGAGGAGGGAGAGGGGGAGGAGGAGATAAAGGAGGAGGAGGAGGAGGAGGAGGAGGAGGAGGAGGAGGAGGACGAGGAGGAGGAGGAGGAGGGAGGAGGAGGATGAGGAGAAGGAGGAGGAGGAGGAGGAGGAAGACGGGTCGTAAGCCCTTCGGAGAAATCCCCCACCATGACGTTATTGCTGGGGCGCACGCTCTGCGCGTGGTCTTGCAGCGCCTCCCCGACCTTCCAGGGCCTCCCGGGGGCCTGCCTGGGGCCTCTCAGGCGACACTCTCCTGGGATACGCTTGGTGCCTCTGGGGCCGCGTCGGGGGCATGGCGAGCGTTTTTCCATTCGGCGCTTGGACATTGGGCGGAAGGGGCGGGAGGGGGGGGTCTGGCTCAGGACCTCTGCTTAATGCGACTGTTTGTAACAACGTGTCCGATAGGGGAGGGACTCCACCTGCTCGAAACAGGCGCCAAAAACAGCCAAGATCTACTCCATGGGGGGGGAGCGGGGGGGTTGGGAGGGCCTGCGCCGATCGGCAAAACGCTGAATCGAAAAACGATCACATGTTGGGTCCTCCTGCGAGCCTGTCTGGGGCGTCTTGGAGGCCTCTTGTGGTATGTGGGGCGCCTGTAGGGCCCTTTTGGGCCGTCGAAGGCCCCTCAAGGGAGTCTCTCGGGCACTTTTTGCGCGATGTAGGAGGCGCTGGGGGCCGTCTGGAGCGGTTCCTGGGGCGAAATGAGGAGAGCCTGAAATTCCTTCAGGAACATGATGGAAACCTACGATTTCGTCTTGGGAGGCCTCCTGGCGTGTCTTGGGGCCGCCTTGGGCCTATGGAGGCTCGCTTCGGGTGCCTTCCGGTCGCCCTCTGGAGCGTCTCTGAGCCGTCGTGGACCATCTTGGAGCCTTCTTGCGGCCTTCCAGGGCTGTCCAGGACCGCCCCAGGACCGCCCCAGGAGCGCCGGGAGCCGCCTCAGGCCGAGCTGCGGTAACGAAATCTCGCACGCGCTGATCCCAGTATTTTAATACGGCTGACGTCGGGCTCCAACATATGCTCCCTCATCTCGCCGAGCAAGGACAGTGCTCGCTGCCACTGCCCCCCCTTCTCGCACGCGCTGAGCCCAGCATTGCAACTGATGGCATTCGGCTCCAAATTCCCCTCCCTGATCTCGCTGAGCAACGCCAGGGCCCGCTGCCACTGCCCACGGTTCTGGCACGCGCCGATCCCAGCGCCGTAGCTGAGAGTGAGCCCGTAGGTGAAATCCATGGCAGGCAGGTGGTGTGGGGGGGGTGCAGCTGGAACGGCGCACGAATGGAGCGAATGGGGGCCGCTCTGGGCCCGTCTTGGGCCTTCCTGTGCCGTCCTGGGCCTCTTGGGGCAGCCTTGAGGGGTCTGGAAGCCATGTGGGGATCTTCTTGAAGCAACTTGGGCCCACCTGAGCCCTTCTCGGGACATCCGGACGGGGAGGCCAACCGCAATCGAGCCAAAAGACGTTTCAGTGATTGGGCCTCTCGGGGGTCATTTGGGAGGGTCGCCGGCTCCGTCGTCGTGGCCTCTTGGGGAGCATGCCAGGGGCATGTCGGAGTACCGGGCCCGCCTTGGCGGGTGTTGGGGCCATCGAGGGTCGGCCTGGGAACAGCTTTGGCCGCGCCTGAGGGTCTCTTGGGGACGTTTCAGGAGGGAGTTCTGGGGCATTCCGGCGAGAATCTTAAAACAGGTCTGGCTTCACTGACCCTTATTGAAGTGATCGAGGGGCAGCATTGGGTGCATCTTGGGGCTCTATGAAGTCGATCAGGCTTTGTTGCACCGTGTTGGGGCGGTCAATGGGCGGCCTTGGGGCTACATAAAAGCTTCATTGGGCCATGCTGGGCGCACGTGGGCCCGTCGTACAGGAGTTGAGGGGCAGGAGGGCGAGGAGAAGACGAACACGGACCAACTGTCGTGTTGCTCTCTTTCGGGCATCCCAGATTTCCTTAAGGCCTTCACCTTGGCCGTATGGGGGCCTCTTGTGGGCATCTTGGGCGGTCTGTGGGGCCTTCTGGGACCTCATGGAGGCCTGCCATGGTCCTGTGGAGACGATAGAGGAGAAGAGGCCGTGGGGACTGCATTACTGAAATCACAATGCTTGATGTGTTCGTGCTTAGTTCGCCTCTACCGGAGAATAAACTGGAGACTTCTGGGGCCCTCTGCAGTGCTCTTGAGGACCTTCGGTTTCCTGGAGGCCCGCGGGGACAGAGTTGGGTTCTGGGGGATCTCCTCCAAAGCTTTCTGGGACATCTTGAGGCTGTCAGAAAAGCCTGGCAGTGGGTCAATCTGAAGCCCCCAAGGAGGAGCTGCTCCACGGAATCACGAAAATCGCCACGCCAACGGGCCTGGCTTTATCACAGGTTGCATTATTCCGCTACACTTACTTAAGCTCCACACCTCGCTTGTCAAAGACTGCGCCAGCTTCATTTGTCCGCCATGCTCGCACATGCTGGCTACATCTCGCTGAGCAAAGACAGGGCCTTCTGCCACTGCTCGCCTTTCTGGCGCGCGCTGATCACATCGGTGTAGCTGACTTGGCCGTGGACTAGTCCACAGAAGTCTTCGCCGGGGCCATGCCTCAAGCAACGCAGACACCCACGCTTTCCACGGGCGGCTTGGCTGGGAAGCATGCGGCTTCCCTTCGGCGGCATGCCCAAAGAGCAATTTGTCGTCCCATTTGACGCCTCTGCTCGGCGCCAGAAACGCCGGAACAGACTGTGGCAACTGTGCGAAAGGAGCCCGAGGACACACAGATTCATACACACAATTAACAGGATTCCCTACATTTTCATGTATTTTCTGGGTTTTTGTCTTCCCCCCACTTCCCGTATTTTCCCATATTTTCTGGGAAATCGACGATTCATTGTGTCTGTGTGTGTTTTGTTCCCTCCTGATGTGCCTGCTCTTCCTGCTGGGCCGCTCGCCGGGGGAGGGCTCCTTCGATATCTGCCGGAGAGCTCGCGCTCGACCCGCCCGCTGGGCGTCGGCAGGGGTCCGAGCAGATGGGGTCGGGGGATCGCTCCGCATCGCCGATGCATCGGCGAAGCATCGGCGATGCACCACCGATGCATCGTCGACGTCGACGATGCATCGGCGACGTCGACGCGAAGCAGAGCGGGCTCCTCATCGAGCCGCATCGCCGATGCATCGGCGATGCGGCAGGATGCTCCGACCCCATCTGCTCGGACCCCCATCTAGGGGGACTAGAGTCAGGAGCCGCTGGGAAAGCTTGAAGACGGATGCCGCTCTCTCCCCGGGCGGCCTGACGGGGGAGACATGCCACTTCGCGTCCCGACCTCGGCGTTGCCCGCGCCGTGCGATCGCCAGCGCCGCGACACAGAAAAGCTGCCTGGGGAGAGGTGTGTTTTCTTGTGGGCCTACACGTCGGTCGAAAGAAGTAGGTAAAAGCATGAAGCAGGAAGGCGGAGAAAGTGGATGGGGTCCAGGCCCTCCCAGAAAATAGCAGAACACAACTAAAACATGCCGATGATTAAAGTAGG